AGCAGGGGAAGGACAGCTTCTTCAACAAATGGTGTCGGGAAAGTTGGATAACAACACACAACATGGATTGTTAACGTACACTGTATACAAAAATTAACTCACAGTGGATCGATGACCTAAACTTAAGGGCTAAAACTATACACTTAGGGGAAAAGTTTTACACCAGTGGATGTGTTAATGATTTCTTGGATATGACACCAAAAGCCCAGACAACAAAAGGAAAAATAAATAAATTGGGCCAGTTCGAAATTAAGAACTTTTGTACATCGAAGGACACTATCAGCAGAGTGAAGAGAATGGGAGAAATATTTGTAAATCATACATCTAATAAAAGATTAGTCTCTAGAATACATAAGAAACTCTTACAATTCAACAACAAAAACAAAAAAAATTCTGATTAAAAAATAAGCAAAGAACTTGAATAGACGTTTTTCCAAAGATGATATACAAATAGCCAACGAGCACACGAAAAGATGTTCAACGTCGTTAGTCATTAGTGAAATGTAGATCGAAATCACAGTAAGATACCACTTCGCATCCACTGGGATGGCTACTTGAGTCTAAACCCCAGAAAATAACAGTATTGCTGAGGATGTGAAGAAATGAGAACCCCATGTGTTGCTGGTGGAAATGTAAAATAGTGCAGCCACTATGCAAAACAGGATGCCCGCCCCCCTCCAATGAACAGAATGACCACGTGATCCAACAATCCCACTCCTACACACACACACACACAATAACGGAAAGCAGGGACTCGAACAGATACCTGTCCACCCGTGTTCACTGCAGCGCTACTCACAATAGCCAAGGGACGGAAGCCACCCGAGTGTCCCCTGACAGATGAATGGATGAACAAAATGAGGTGGAATGGCCTGAATGTCTACATCCCAACCAAATTCGCATGTCGAAGCCTCGTCGCTATCCCTATAGGAAGAGACACCAGAGAGCTCGCTCTCTCTCCACGTGTGTCCGGGGAAAGGCCACGTGAGGACAGAGCGAGGCCACTGCCTGTAAGGCAGGAAGGGCGCTCTCAGCTGCCACCCTGGGAGCGGGCGCCCGGCTTCCAGACCCGGGAGAAAGGAAGTGTCTATTGTTCGGGCCGCCTAGTCTGTGGTGTTTTGTTGTGGCGGCCTGAGCTAAGACACGCAGTCTATACACACAACGAAATATATTTTGGTCTTAGAAACAAAGGAAATCTGATGCGCACTACCACACCGATGACTACTAAAGACATGCTAAGTGAAAAAAGCCAGTGAGAAAAAGGACACACGATACCGGATTCCATTTCTCTGAGGTTCCGGCAGTGGTCAGATTCGTGGGGACTATAAGGAGAATGGTGGTCAGATTGGGGGGAAGTGTTTCACGGGAAGATGCG